CAGAGCGACTCACCTTCGCGATTAATACCACACAGGACAGATCCGGGGCGATACCACATTTTACTTGGTACATGGTTGGGATCCGAGATCCAGTCTAGAAGCGGTCGTTCCGGTAGGTAGCACCAAGAGGAGAAACCGAGACCCAAGACGATGGCAATACCAGGTCCAGAAATACTACCGGCAAGCCAGATCCCAAGTGAACGGACGGTTACGAAGTGCGATACAGGATCGAGCGGATCGACACAACGAAGAAGCCCGTTCACATCAAATCCAAGCTGGATCGCAGGTGTGGCTGTACCTAGATGGGTGCAAGAAGAATACGCCCGTAAACTGGCCCATCTCTGGCACGGACCGTTCCGAGTAAGTGAAAAGATAGGGGAACACGCCGTGAAGTAGGAAACGGCGGGTACCGTGCATTTGCAGATTCACCGGTCAAACCAACATCGTACCTAAACCCAAGCCCGCTACTCGAAAAGACGAGAAAGAAGACCAACACAGAATCTAGTGTTGGTAGTGATATCCGGATAATACATTGGCCAGATCCTACAACCTACTGAGCTTTCCTTTACACGTGCATATCCGCAAGCTTAGCCGGATTTACTACTTGGCCGGTTACACCCTAGAGTCTCTCAACTCTCAAGATACCGTCACAGGAGGCGGCAAGTACGACGAAAAGGAAAACAAAGACTAGGGAACACACCCGCAAGGCAACCCTACGGCCAGATTCCAGATCTAAGCCCTGGATCCACCAAGCTCGAATATTCGCTTAGGATCCAGAAACATCTACGGACGCAGAGTGAAGCTCTTACCGCTACTGCTCCACCCCATCCCCACGTCTCGTCAAGGCACTCAATCTTCACCACTTGAACTCTTCGGAAGTTACCGAGAGAGCAAGGCCCCGCCCTACCAACGGGTACACAAGGTGAGGAAAGTTCAGCAGATCCCGGATCATCGGGGGGGCCGGTAGTCAGTGTCTGGGCGTTGTTGGTAAGTTGGATCCAGCAATCTTGCAGATTTTGCTGATCCCGCTACACCACAAGAACATGACTCACCAATGCTCCGTCGGACTTCGCAGGACGGCTGGCCCCGATTGTCTTGCCTCGCCAGTCGATCCAGGGCTCGTGCTCCTCAAGCCAGGGCATGCCCAGGATCATATCGTAGGGATCCATGTCGAGAACAGTGAGCTGTTCGAGGCTGTCAAAGTCTTCAAACTTGACGGTCCGATCCACTTGGACGTTGGGGACAGTGACGACCTTCCCGTCGGCCAGTCGCACTGGCACCGTCCCGTTGCCCTTGCTTTCTCTCAAAGCATCGGTCAACGTGTTGCTATCACGAGCAACCGTCTGGCGGCGTGCGAAATTCTTTGACGCCCCAGAATCGATCAAGATTCTAAAGGGGTGATCGTATCCCCGTACACATCCGTGTACTACGATCAACCCGATGCTGCTCTTCGCCGATTCGAGAGTGCGAGGGGCTAAGTCCCCGTGGTACGCGCCACCCGCGCACCCTTCACGAAGACTTAGTTCTTCCCCAGTAGGGCGATCCGCCCCTACTGGTTTTCGACGTTCCCCTGTCCCCGCGATCCTGGCTTCTGCCAGCGACCCTTGAGGACGGGCTTGGGGAAAGTCCGTCTGCGGAGTCTTTCCGCGGGGCAGTCGCGCTTGGAGTGGCCCATCTTCCCGCAGCCGAAGCAGCGGATGTCGCGCTGCTCGGCGGACCCGAGTTCCATGGGAGCCGGTCCGTTGGGGCTCCCTCGACCGGGGGTCGACAAAGACCATGATGAGGCCGGCGTGCGCGCCTGGCGATGGCTGTATTCTTCCTGAAGAGCCACTTGAATCGCCTCTTCAAGGGTGCTTGACTGTACCCGGAACAGCTGAGTGCGCGCTGGGCCCACTCGAAGGCCGTCCATGAACACAGTCATCTTGATGTGTTCGTTGAGTGGGTTTTCCACTAGAGACGCCGTGAGCTCCCGTATCACTTGGACGTACTCGTGCAGCTCCGTCTCCCTTGTTTGTACGAGAGGAAGTGCAAGCGCTGGCGGTACTCGTAGTTCGCCGGGAGGAACGCGGCTCGGAGCTGTTCACACAGCTGAGCCCAGGATGTGAAACATCCAGGGGATGTTGCCTCCCGCGTGTACAGCCAACTCTTAGCACGACCGCTAAGGTTGGAGAGTGCAAAAACAACACGAAGTTGCTCGGTCGAGATCAGAGCCGCGTCCATCGTGAGCTCTACCTCTCGGACCCAGAAGTGAAGGTTCTCACCTTCCTTCCCTTCATACGGCTTCACCTTCAGCCGTATTGGCTTCGGGTGTGGCGGATTTGCTTCCGCCGCCGGAGCCTGCAGGTTCTCCCGCACATGCGCGATGAGCCCCTGCTCGTAAGCGTCAAACGCATTGACGCGCTCGAGCTGCTCAGCCGGTGTTGACACCACCAGGCTCCGCAGGGCCTCCATCCCGAAGATGCCTGCCATCTTCCGAACCGACTCGAACTGTGAGTCGTTCAGATGGGAGAAGTCGTTCCTATCCATGGCAACGAACTTCAGAGAGGTTCAGGTAGTCTACCCGCGGTGGCGTGGATTGACTACAAGTGCTACCAAGTGTGACGGGGTCACACAGCACCTTGCGCTAGAGGAAGTTGGCTTCCGAGAGTATACAAACTCTCAGTGAACGGCAGCTCACAGGTCCCCTTTTACCGAAAGGGAGCGAAGTGACCAATTTAAGGTAGATTGTAAACTGAATAAATTTATAGGTAGGCTAAACTTGAGCTAAATATACAAACTTTAAGTCACCTATAGAAAAGCAATGTCATCAGCCAATGGTTGGTCCCTGGTACCATGTACCAGATATCCCGAAGTGTGACGTGTCATACTTCATGTAACTGGGGGTACACTTGGGGCTACGTACCCCGTTACACAAAATATCTAGAACGGGCAACCGTATAAATTCATGAGGGGGGTTCTGTATTAGGAGGTAGGTGCACTGATGGACGTGCACATTAGCTCCTGTACTTGGTTTATAAACTATGCACTATTATAGCGGCAGAAAATGAAGGGGCTAGTAATCAAATCCCCATGGGGGGCTCAATTTTGATAAAACCAGATATGACATTTAGATATGTGATAAAACCGCCCATTCTGAGTATGATTTTGGTGTTAAAACCGGCTAATTCGCAGTAGTTTTGTCGCTACAGGCTCCCCAAAAAGGTGTCTCCAAGGACCTTTAAACGGGGAAACAGTTGCTATAATGCTGATATTCTATTGGTCAAGAGTGTGGAAAGTTGTACAAACAGGCGTTAAAAATAAAACGTTCAAATTTAAAAAGAAGGATTTGTATATATTTAAAGAGTGATTACCCACCATCTTCCTTATGAGCTTCTTGTGGATGGTACATTCTACTAGCGAAAGCATAAAATTGTAAGATTTTCATATGATATCACAACAGAGCAGTTTTAACCCTACATGGGCCAAAACGACAAGCGCACCTCGGCGAAATTGGTGTCTGGGTCGAGGTTCCATGCCCAGAGCACCCGAAAAACTGTGCTTTTCCCAAGGCGCGTCGCCTCTTTAGTTCGATCGCGCGAGTCCCACCCTCCACTTCTGCCTGCTTTGGCCTCGGCGACGAAATAACCATATACATTGCAAACTAGGGTTTTCTCGCCCGGACTGAGCTGGTGTCTGCATTGCACTGCGCTTCCTGAAATGAAAGAGATGAAGAGTCTTAATTTATGGAAGAAGGAACTACGAAACCTCAGCTTTCTATCCGCGCCCTTTGCACTTAATTTAAGGCTATTTTGGTGAAGTTATCGCCGATTATCCAAAGATAATAATTTATTTCGGATTAGCTAGCCCCATCATTTTCTGCCGCTATAATAACAGTCGAACCTGTTTAAAACAATGATCTACCAAATCTTATTGAGCCGTCGATCCACAATTATTCAAAATGGTGGCACGACGTACTGCTCACTTGTGCACCAGCTGCAAAAACACTTATCCCATTCGCATGGGGGAATTTTGGGAGAGGTTTCGCTTCTTTTTAATCAGCACCTCATCTTGCCATTGACCAATATACTCCGAAGCGGAGTCTGGACGTCGAGTTTAACGAAGGAGAGTGCCGTCTCTATTGCTCGCAAAGTCCCTACTGTAGCTTCAGCGAACATCAAGCAGCATGAGTATTTTTCGTAGATTGCACCGTGCACCTTCCAGTGAGACGGCAGCGTCATATTCCAACAATGGACGTCAAAGCAGGTTCAGTCGTTCCAGCAGAGTTATCCAAAAGGCCCTCGTTGTCGGGCCACTGTGTGATACGCCCGAGACTCCTACACGCAATCGAAAGCGTGATCGTCTCAGACGCTACCTCGCTCGTCGACGAGAGAGCAAAACCAAAGAGAACGCGCCCTACTTGTGGCCTGCGATACTTTCAGCCGACAAGGAAGAGATCCGATCTTCAAACGACACGGAGGACGGTGACGACGTCTACATGGTCGACTACCACAGCGACTCGGATTCCGACGACAATTCTCTGTCTGAAGACGACTATGTGCCTCCACCCGTGGCTGTTCCAGAGATGTACCGAAGGCACGACCGTCAAGGTGGTATCACAGTAGCCGGGGCTCGAATTTTGTTCACGTATGCCGAATTCAAGCGACAGCAAATGATGCTAGGCAAGCTTCAGTCGGTCCCCGAAGCTGAACAGCTTATAATACCTTTGGGGCTGCACCGAGAGCATATCGCCATTCGTACCTATTGAGAAGAAAACAGAACTTGTTGTGTCTGGTTGTTGTAATGAAGCGTTGACCAACGCCACGTTCACTTGATGTAAATTCGTTTTCGTTATCTTTATAGTGTCTTGCCAACTCTCCTCACGAATTGACGTTTATGTGACGCATCGTCGGAGGCAAAATGACAAGCCGATGCTGCGTACGGACAGAAAGCACATTCGGCAAAACTTGGCTTCGGCTCAAAATTTCCGCGTCGTAGTCCTGACGCGACCTCAACGACGGCGTCTACAGCTTCCTGTGCTGCCTCCTCGGAGAAGTGCACAAACCCGTTGTCGTCGTTGCCTGCTCTGCTAATTCTTCTACGTCTTGATTTACTTGGTTCATTAAAAGTCTCACCGATCTGCTGCAGCTTCGCCCCGTGCGGTGCTTCGCCAAATACCGTTGTGAAGGCGTACATGTACATTTTAAGCTGTAAACTGTCACTTGCGAGCTTACGCATGTTGCGATCAGCGCCGCCCATATTCGACTTGAACTCCTTGATGACTAAAGAGAACGAGCCATCGCCAATAGGATTAAAGACTCGGTCAATGCGATCCCACACACCGCGCAACTCCACATTGGCTTCGGGGACGTGAAAGGAAAAATCCTTCTCGACGTGGACAATCTCTTTCAGCTGCAAGTCACCATAGTGAGTCTCAATAAATTCCCACAGCGCCATCATAGCTCGCTCAAGCACGAACGAGGCCTCTTCCTTGGAGGTAAAAAGTCCGTATCCGTCACCAGCCCAGGCACCCCTGAAAGCTTCCTCGGCTTCTACAGCTGCGAGCGTCTTCACCTCCTCTGTAATCTCATCGTTCCGTTGTGCAGCAGCGATAGATTTGGCAAACGCTGCTATACCTTCATGCAGTGCCCGCCCAAACATCATCGAGGTGGAAACGTCTCCATCCAGTTTCATTATTCGACTGAGGTAGTATCGATGTGGGCAACGAAGGTACTCGGAGATCTGCGAATATGACAAGTGAGAAGGCTCATACGATGCTCTTGTTGCTGCTGGGACAGGTGAGCGATGACTGTTTACACTGCTCGCACTAGACGTTTCCGGTCGTTTAGCAGGCGGCTTCTTCATACTCATCGGGTCTTGATTCTGTTCGGAGTAAGTCGCATTACCATCATCACTGCTCGTCTTTGCTGTGGCAGCTTGACGCTCCTCGTAATGAAAAATCGGAAGAAACACGCGATTCAAGAGCTTGCGCACTAGTTGAGCCACCTCCGACAACCAAACGAGCGAGGCCTCGGTTGCTTCTTCGCCGTGTAAGATGGCTTGACATGTCGACGAGTGTTTAAGCGATGAGGGTTGAGGGGGTGAAGTGGCATCGCTCGCTTCAGTTCCCGCCTTGTTGTTAACATTGCCTTTGGTGATTGCTGGTGGGTCACCTTCATGCCAGATCGGTTGAAAAGTTCGGCTAAACACCTCACGCTTGGATGTAGAGGGGTCTGCAAGCTCCGCGAAAGAAATAATCACCTCACTGTACTCTCCCATTGTTAAGGCCTGATAAGCGATTTGTTCACACTGCTCAAGGTGTTCAGTGCGTGTCTGCACCGGGTACGGTTCACTAAGCAGCTCATACGGGAGTGGGAGCGTGAGTCGCTTCATCCGTCCAGGGAACTTGCTATCACGCATCGACATAAACACCAGCACATGCTGATTATCTTCTTCGCCAGAGACTGAAGCTGCAAGCGACTCGAGCGCGTAAGCTGTCAGTGGAAGTACACGAATGCCTGAATGCCCCCCAGACGCGCTCGAACTAAGTATGTCTGTTGCGTCTTCTAATGATACAGATGACGTCAAGTTGGTTTCCCTCAGCTGTTGCAAATACGGCACCACGAACGTCACTTGACCACTCTTTACCACATTTTGTGCACTCTCGAGTTCTCGTAAAAAATCTGCTAGTACTACAGACTCGCGTTCCTGTTTCGGTGAGCTGGGACTTAGTAGTGCTTCCAGTCGACCCGTCTCCTCCAGGAAGCTCTGCACGATTTTCACTGCAGAGAGTTGATGGCAATCACCACGCATCCGCTTGATGAGTTTCACAAACGATTCGGCTATCTCTAAGCCACGCTCAAGCTGTGAAGCCACTGGCTCTGGCAACTCGAGCTTCTCACCTTCTCTGTAATTGAGGGAGGCCCCTAGCGACTTGCTCTGACTATCAATAAAGGCTTCGAGAACTGGGAACAGATCCACGTGACTCCGGTGCTCTTTCTCCATTAACCAGGATAGCAATTCAGCTGGAAAAGCGAAACACTCTGAGCGTAAAACGTTGTAGAGATGACGCGAGTCACTCGGGAAGCACAATGCACACAACAGTGAGAACACCGCATTCACACCGGGTTCGTCGAATAAATGGATAGGTGCACTAGTGGAGTAAGTTGCAGCAAATTGGCCGGTAGCCAGGTCAACAGGAAGTCCCTGTTTCTCAAATGCCAACATGATCCGACTTGCATCAGCGTGCGTGGGGCACAACACAGTGGCATGGATAGATTGACCAGATTGCAACTTTTGAGCTAGAAATGCACCGATACCCTTTTCTTCCGCTTCAAACGTACCGAAACTCCAGCACTTTAATGGGACAGGAGATGGTGTAGTGATGCCCACGTTCTGCGCCAAGACCTGCTTTGCAAAAGCTTGCATCTTCGCTCGCTTGTTGGTAATCGCGTCTTCGACGTCCAAGGAGAGACGAGTCACACTGCAATCCCGGCCTATACTCACTGCCGTCTTCAGTAATTGCTGCTCTAAAATCTGCGTATGTGAACATTCGTCTCTGTCAAATAGTACGCGACTGAAGCTGGCACTGGACTGGACACTCGGTTGGCCACACAAATGCCCAACAAGAGTCGCCATCGCAGGCGTCATCCTCTGGACATCGTCCACCACCATGTCCGTGTAGTCCTTCAGCACCGCTTTACTCGTTTCTTTAGCTGTAGCTCCCTGCACTGCAAGGCCACTCTTCTGCACTCCACACAGTTCCAGCACATCCATCACCAGACCGTCCCAAGATGTGACGTCGTGCTGCATCAGTAGCTCCTGATATTTCCTGTACATTTCCGCTAGTTCCTGAGGCAATTGTTCCCCAGAAGCCGCGGCTACGGCCGCGTACTGCTCCGGTATGATGCCCTCTTGTTCCAACAGCCGAAAGAACTGCAGCAAGTCCCGTATCCCTTTGCGTCTTTGAAGCGTTGATCTGCCCGCGAGACGAGACACGCCCGGTGCTTCCGGTGCATTGTACAGAAGCAGCGCCGTCAACTGAGCGCGGCTGAAGACTCGGCGCTCGCGTCCACTCTCGCGCAGTAGCAGCTGACAAAACTCGCGGACACCAAACACTCCGTGACCGCGACGCTCAAGCTCAAAGGCGGATGCGTCTCGCTCTAGCGCAGCACGCACAGGCGGGTTAGGCGCAGAACTTCCTGTGATAAATAGGACGCGACGCTGTGGCTGCCCCAGGAGCCATCGAACGCGCTGCAAGGCTTGGAGGTTGGGCACCGAAGTAATCAAACTTTGGTGCGTGACGCTGGCGCTACCTGGGAGAGATGAAGCATTGAAGTTGAGCGCATTGAGAGAGGAGGCACTGGAGAATAGGCACTGAGTATGGACGGATGATGGCCTCGCCTGGCGCAGCAGCGACTGCCGCGCGACATATAGCTGCCGAGTCATTTTGGCACAGATCTACTGGACATCAAAAATGGGCACTGCCTATTTTTAAAATGGAAAATGGGCATATTATTAATAACCCTTTTCGCGAACACGGTTTTTTCCTTAACCTGTCTGTCCGTCCGTCTGTCCGTCCGTCTGTCAATCAGTCCGTCGCTTTCCTCTCTTGCTGCTTTTTCCTGCCTTTTCGCATGGCTACACTTAGCCTGCCCATCTTACCGACCGCGCCAATCTTTCTGACTCGACCTAACTATGCCAAAATTACAAAAAATTCAAAAGCGTCACACGATTAACTCGCGCCCTGATTGGGCAATACCTGCCGACCTGCGATACTGACTGGATCTGTCGCACGATCAGACCGTCTCTCGCCCTCGCGATTGGACGTAAGGTAAACATTTTTGCCTTGCACGAAACGCATCGTGGTTGCAAACAGCCAGGCGAAACTTGATTACTGACATTTAGCTACGCAAAACCTGTCGTATGTACTGAAATCGGGCACAGTAACGACTTTATTATGTAAGAGCTCTGCACACTTCTCAAATAGAGATATTTATTATTATTAATGTAGACTTCACAGACCAGTATTTTGTAAGAGCTCTGGGATGTTATTTTCCACACACTTTTCAAAGTAAAGACGATATTAATAGTACTAATACTAGCGCTCTGGGCGCCCGCTCCGCGGACGCTAGGGCATGGTTGGCTGGTGTAGAGAGGGTTGACCACCTCCGCTTCGCTGCGGTGGGCTTAGATTCCTTACTCAAAGCAAGCTACATATAATATGAATTCCGTGTTCTAGCGTATTTGCTTTAAAAAAAACACTGTACACACTAGCATTAGTCCTCACATGTTCTGCCTCACCAACCGGCTCTCCACCTATCTCTTGCATTTCTTGAAGTCAGTTCTGACAACATATATGTGAAGTATATCTGACAACTGGCTGTTACAGATGGATAGGCGTGTTACAGATCTAGCTCGGCTGAATATTGTTGATCGTCATGGCAAAGGTAGACATGACTGTAAATCATTGCGAAAAGGAACTATTTGTCGTTACCTCCAGGGTTTAACGTGATCTGCAAGATGAACACCATCTTACCCTAGGGGATGTTGTCTTAATTCTCGATTGAGCGCTTCGCTCCTGAATTAGTACCACTCTGAAGAGCGCTTCATTGCAAACTCACTCTCTGCTATTCAGAATGTGGGTCATTACCGTTGGTGTACTGAGCCTCAGCATAAATCGGAAAGAGGTTCCACAAAAACTTCGAGATAGAGAACACGTCTACCAAAGCGTATTGGGATCCCACGTCATCGGGTGAATTTGGCGACAGGTACTACTTCGTCTAGCGGATAGGTATTCGTTACCATATCGCTAAAAGCGACGGTCCAGTAGAGCAAGTTTTAGTCGTCTTTGCATGCATAGTTTGGTGTATAACCGCTAGTATTTCCGATGTTCACCAAAATTACCGATTCTCCCCTCGATTTGGCTCGCTGAGCTCATAATACCATGATATCTCTGAAGGAAACGTACCGATGTTCGCTGACTCGACAAAATTAATTAGACTGACTTTATTCATCAGTTCCGTTCGTGTTCTAACTCGGGCATGATAGGATGATCACGGTTGACTTACTTACCGACTTATTTGCGTAGTTACTGACTGAAAGAGTGGCGTAGATCCTTTCGAGTGGTATTTACAGGTTGGGATATGTATGAGGAACATACGAAGTCACATATCTGTAGACAAATTATTAGATCGTAGATATCTAAGACCTGAATTGAAAAGTAGTTCATGTACATTAGATGAAGTACTTTCGCTACCTACCTGCCCGTCGTGCTATTGGATATGTCCGTATATATCCCGTAATGCCGTTAATGGTCGTGGTAACCAACACCCATGCATTGGGTCACTGCTGCGATTTCAGTACTTTTGCATCGTCGTGCTAGCTTACTGTACCTACGCTTATGATGTATCCGTCTATATGATCAAGCGCGTCACTAATTGGGCACAGGTCATACCCACGGTGATGCAGGCAACCTTATACAGGACAGCTGCCCAGGCGTCTGTTAGCAGTAGTCAGGCAATAAATACGCGCGCGGTCGTTACACATTATAGCCATCCGCGACTCAACCGAGCTCTTATCTCGGCCGTTATGGACAGCGCAGTAGTGCGAACAGATATTAGACTGCCGTGCCTACCGGTATGGTCTGCACTACCACACACGTGCTCCTATCTTTGTAGGCAGCAACGTATTCGTTGCACATAGTGCTTACACAATTCTGTAGTTTCAATTTGTGGGCGCACACTAATGGAATATACGCTGTGAACGTTGACGATGCAGATAGCGTGGTCTTGCCTTTTTCCAAGTGAGCGAGTGTACGTGTAACGCGTATGCAGATAGGGACGGTCAGCTTGCGGCTGTCCACAGTAGATTACCACGTGCTAAATATTATTTGAAACGCGCTACGCTATTTAGGTGTGTAAACACTACTGACTGCGCCATAGACAGATTACCGTATGTGCGGCTCCAAACCTCGCACTGTAGTCCGGTATATTAAATACAAAAATAGGTGGGAAAATGGGAGCCTAAAAGAGTATATTTACCAACTACTTGCTCTTCTGCTGCTTCTTATATTAATCATTTCCCGCCTCTTAACCTTCTAGCGTATCCGTCTGTCAATAAGTCCATCCGTTTCCTTTCTTACTGCTTTTTCCTGCCTTTTCGCATGGCTACACTTGGCCTGGCTAATACAGCTTCGTCCCATCCTATCAACCGCGCCTATCTTTCTGACTCGACCTAGCTATGCATAAATTACAAATATATCCAAAAGCGTCACACAATTAGCTCGCGCCCTGATTGACCTGCGACACTGACTGGATCTATCGCACGATCAGACCGCCTCTCTCCCTCGCGATTGGACGTGATGTAAACATTTCTGCCGAGAACGAAACGCATCGATTGGATGTAAGCACCAAGGCGAGCTGTGGTGATTATTATTTATTGAAATTTAGCTACGCAAAACCTGTCGTATGTACTGCAAATCGGGCACACTAACCACTTTATTATGTAAGAGCTCTGCACACTTCTCAAATAGAGATATTTTTTATTATAAATGTAGACTTCACAGACCAGTATTTTGTAAGAGCTTTGCGATGTTATTTTCCACGCACTTTTTCAAAGTAGAGTATTTTTATCATCATATATAATATTTTTATTTAAGAAGGCTTCATGACCTTTGCGTTAGTTGCACCCGGACCCCGCACTGCATGCGTGAATGGTACCTAGGTGGCTGCGTTTAAAATCATTGTTATTGCTTAATAGTATGTTTGGTTTAAAAAAAATGAAAATAGTATTATTTAAGCGATTGCCAAAATTATAATAAAATAAATTTTGTTTAATAATAAGTAACAGCATTAAATGGCCGTGTACTGGAAATTAGTTTTACGTGTTTTATTGGTTAAAACAATATAATGCTTATGATATAATAATACTATTTATTATTTTGATTAATAAAATACACCTAGCAGTAAATACCCGCTGGAAAACCTAATATTTTTACGCACGTTAGTAATTGTAATAGTTTGCTCACAGTTTGCAGCATGGCGAGGCCTACGGGCAAAGCGAAGATTGACCTGCTACTGCTGAACCCGCAGCGACGGACCCCCGAGCGCGGTGCGTATGCTGCGGGATGCCGCAATATGGCTACGCGCTCCGTTCAATCAGCGGACAAGACACCGCGTGACGCTCTATTGCCTGCGAGAATGACGCAAAAGCGACCGCGTTCTAATTAAAAAAAGTCCCCACCGCCGGATCCAGCGGAGGTCCGCAGTCAGCATAGTCTGGCGAGTGTTAAAAAAGCATGGGCCCTGATTAGCTCCCCCAAAAATAAGAAGAAGTGTATCCGCCCTCGCAAGCCGCCCGACCGAAACGCCAGGTATATCGAGCAAAAGCAGCAGCAGCAAAAGAGCAAGTAATTGGTAAATATAACCTTTTAGGCCCCCATTTTCCTACCTATTCTTGCATTTAGTCTACTGGCTGACCGGGCGAGACTTGGGGTCGCACATACGGTAATCTGCCTATGGCGGGGTCAGTCGTGTTTACACACCTAAATAGTGTAGCGCGTTTCAAATAATATTTAGCACATGATATCTACTGTGGACATTCGATAGCTGGCCGTTTCTATCTGCATACCCGTCACACGTACACTTGCTCACTTGAACAAAGGCAAGGCCACGCTATCTGTATCGTCAATGTGCACAGCGTATATTCCACTAATGTGCGCCCATAAATTGAAACTACAGTATTGAGTGAGTACTACGTACGACAAACCCGTTGCTGTCTACGTAGATACGAGCACGTGTGGGGTAATGCAGACCATACGGTGGATGTTGCAGGTTGATGTTCCTGTATACAGCTCTGTATTTTTGTGTCCTGTCCATAATGGTCGACATATGAGATCGGTTGAGTCGCGGATGGCTACAAGGTGTACCCGCCGCGTGCGTATAAATCACTACTGCTAAGAGACGCGCGGTCAGCTTGCCTATATCGCTGCGGTATGGCCTGTGCCCAGTTAGTGACCGGCCTGGTAATATAGACTGATACATTAGAACCGTAAGCACGGTAAGCCAGTGTGGTGTAGCGGGATCAGCAAAATCTGCGAGATTGCCAGATCCAACTTACCAACTGCGCCCAGACACCGACTAACGGAGGGGGTCCCCCGATGATCCGTGTTCTGCTGAACTTTCCTCACCTTGTGTACCCGTCGGTAGGGCGGGATCTGCTCTCTCGGTAACTTCCGAAGAGTTCAAGTGGTGAAGCTTGAGTGTCTTGGCGAGACGTGGGGATGGGGTGGAGCAGCAGTGGAAAATCTTCACTCTGCGTCCGTGGATGGT